GAGACGTAATGTGTTTCCTGTGAGGTACGGAATGAATTGCTATATACAAATATAAATCACTCCGTCCAATGTGACCTGTAAGTTTTTTACTACATGAAAACTTAACACCCTTACATGTTTCGGTCTCTGTGGACCATCTTCGGAGGGCAAACATCACTACAAATAGGAAACCACCATCGCATAAGTTGTTTAGACGTAAAGTACGTACACTTATATGCTACAATGCATAGTACACAAAATACAACATTTCACAAACAGCAGTTTCCTGGGAATGTAAAGTTTTTAAAAAATTATATAAAATTTCTTGATGCTAATTACAATTTTTTTTTTTATTGTCAGTAATTAAAATTCGTAAACCATTCAGGCTCGTGTTCGTCCTCCCATCGTCCCTCTTGTATGGGGCAGATATTGTGCCACCTGGCTATCTTGATGTGGAGGTTCTTTATATCGTCCAGGGTTTGCTCGTGGCAAACCCTAACAGCATTAACCGGTTGGGCTTTGTAGCGGAGACGTAATACGTTTCCTGTGAGGTACGAACTTGATATTTATATATTAATTAGAAGATATTCATTCTTTTAAGGGTCAATATAGCAACGTTCTTCACATTTTTATGGTCCGGTAAGTGCAAGAAAAATCGCGGAAAGTTTGTAAGCAAGTTGGTAAAATTTACTCTCAACCATATGGAGAGGCTGTGACATTTATCAGACAAAGCCCGTTGGGGGGGGGGGTTCTGGCATGATTGTGGAGGGCTCCAGTCCAACTCTGTGAAGAAGAGTGACCTAGTTGGCAAGATCGGCAATTGGCAGCCCTGCAGACCCCACCCCACGGCCAGCTCTTCATTGATTGCTTCCAGGATGTGGATAGGGAATCAGCTGACATTTCGCCATCATACAGTCATGGTTCCCTAAAATTCTTCTTTTTCTCTTTCTCATGAACACTGATCATTTCACAAAAAATCCTACATTTTATTCAGAACTACGCATTTTCTTATATTTATGAAACAGATCTTGTGAAAATGTTAATGTATTGTGAATGACAGCAAAAAAGGTCGAAATTTGATTCGTAAGTTCTAGTTCAGTTCACAATCATTTTGTCATCTCGCCTGATATTTAAATACAAAGGTTAAAAATATACAAAACTTTAATTCTGTCTGTAGTTTTGTATGGGTGTAAGCCTTGATCTCACAGAGTTAGTGTGTGTTAGGCAGGGGTTGAGGGGAATTCGTGAACAGAGGCCGACAGACTAACAGGAAGACAGAGAAATTCCACAGTGAGCTTTATTACCTGTACACCTCACTGAATATATTAGAACTTTGAAGTCAAGAATAAGCAGGGCATATGGAATGCATGGAAGAGAGGAAGAATACATACAGCATTCTGAGAGGATAATTTAAATGAAGGAGACCACTGGGAAGACCTAGACGTAGATGAGAGAGTAATATTAGTAGATCTTAGGAAAATATGATTTGGGGGGAGGAGTATGGACCCGATGCATCTGGCTTAGGATAGGGACTACTGGCGGCCTGTTGTGAACACGATGATGAACTATCGGGTTCCGTATATGCTAGGAGTTTCTTGAGTGGCTGAGCAACTGGTGGCTTCTGCAAAGGGGCTCCACTCAATTGAGTTCGTTAAGGAAGATTAAGGCACTATGATTGAAGTCGCCAATACTGGAAGACTCATCCGAGTGGGTTAGGCCTCCTGTTTCATATTGGGAGATGCCAGTTCCTCTTCTCTCGACTGAAGCACAGTAAACCCTTGCCAGTCTGGATCGAAATATGAAAAATGAAAGAATTCTGTTCTCACTTGAGAGAATACTTTTAAGAGACAGATGGGATTTAGGAGCAAAAGGACTTTCACACTGAGTTGAGGGCAGCTGGAGAGACTGATAGCACGCAGGAAAATATCCAAGATTGGCTTCAGCTAAATGAATCAGACCTTGGATTTCAGCTTCCAATAGAGAAACAATAATGCCACAGTGATATTTTTATGCAAATTTTCATCAGCACTACCTATATTATCAAATATTAAGTTTTTTTTTTTGCCATTTATGGCTATCATTTTCCCCACAAATTAATCAGGATTAGCGAGGGTTTACTGTGACAACGTGCTGTCTGCTAGACTACCATACTACACAGTGTAGCACTGCAGAATGTAGTAATCTTCATACTGACGACATGAGAATATCGGATCTAAGAAGAATGTTCTTGTTTTCAGAATGTGGTGGACAATAACGGGCAACTTCGGTAACATTCTTCCCATTGACTGGTCCAAGTCATATGCGAGGAAACTGCACATGCCAGCACTTAACCTCAACGAAAATAAGGTATTCATAATGTTATATGTACCTTACTACCCCACACACTGTCCACTGTTGTATACAGGTTCAATATAACTCCAGTTCATTTGTTGGGCTCCATGTGTCAACTCACAGGCCATACATATTGCGACATGTGGTCCCACTGCCAGACTGCCACAGTTCCTGGCTACAGATCCAGAGGTCCCGTGTTCGATACCCAGCGATACTAGATTTTCTGAGAAGTAGTGGGTCTGGAATGGTGTTGACTCAGCCTCGTGAGGATAATTGAGGAGTTATTTCAAGGAAATAGCGGCTCCGGTATAGAAAACCGAGATTAACGGCCGTGCGAATCTTTTTTTATTGTGGGGAAAAATTGTTGTAAATACAAAAAAAGGCCTTGGCAATGCCCATCCGGCCTTCTGTAGCACATTCTTATAAACATTTTACTCTATCATAGCAGTCATGTATGTACTCTGGGTTAAGCGACATGGTCATAGGTCTAGAGTCGGGTGGGTGGCCATGCAGTTTGATTCCACCTTCCTATTGCCTGTTGCACCAATAGGATGATGCACACTTGCGAGGAAGGGGGGGGGGGAAGTTCATAATTTACTGGTGTAGGATCACAAACTTTTGAGTGGGAGAAAATCTTTGAAAGGTATGAAACTTTTGTTGTGTCAGTTTATATACGGTATAACCTTTGTGCTCTTTAAAATGTGAGGAATATTTTGAGTAGCTGAGGAATCTTCTTGAGAAGGGCTCTGCTTCATGAAGGTAGTCACAAATTATTATTGTGGTTGTCTTAATGTGCTCATAAATTGTTATGATCCTTATACACTATATGATGATTTATGCTATTCCACATGCCTGATATGCTTTGTACAGGAAAAGCTGTCACCAGATGATGATCTGCTAGATCTGAGCTCTGAGGATGAAGCTGTCGCTAGCGATTTGGATATGCATTCGCTTATCCTGTCTGGTCTTCACCAGGACGCAGAGCCCGTAAAAACAGCAGAGGAAGTCATCAGGGAGATTGATGATATGATGCAGGTACTTTCTGGACAGCCTGTTGCAACCAATATGTCTCTGGGCATGTGACAAATACGTGCTCATATTACAATACAATTAGTACTATGTATTATTTAATGTGTTTGTTATGGTAAATCAGAATAAACTGTAAATTATAAATAATAATTGGTAATTAAACTATATTGCCAATCACAGTGGCCAGTCGGTCTAAGGCATGAACTGTCTTTGCTCACTCGAACACTGGGATTATAGGTTCAAATACTACTCAAAGCATAAAGGTTTGTCTACGTTTATTCTGTGCTTTTGTTGTCCTGTATAGGTAGCAGCCTTGGGACAGGCTGATCTCCCACCCAAGGAGACCTACTGACTGTCTAAAATTAAGAAACTGAAGTTAAATTAAAGTCCATGATATGTAAGCAATGTCCGCCTTTTAGTGCACTCAATTTTACTTGCTACTTCACAACATGTTTCGGCACTACAGTGCCATCATCAGGTGCTCTATTTACGTCAGTCTATTTCATTGCCTGCCATTACGTCATTGTAAAATTTAAAGTATTTAAAAATGTGAAGTAGCAAGTAAAATTGAGTGCACTAAAAGACGGACACTGCATACATATCATGGACGAAGATCAGTGCAACAGGACGCTAAAATACAACATTATAAATTAAAGTGTTTCACAGATGCCTTATGCTCCATGTGGGAGCAACAGGAATAAATATAGATATAGAATTACTAAAAACAGTGATAAATGTGATGAATCACATGACAAAATCACTTTTACCAATAATTACCCGTTAGTAGTTAGTGTTCATTATTACCAGTAAAATTTTTGGTAATTCTATATAATTCTTCATAATTACCATCATTTAGTTTTAGCATAATATAATTAACCCCTTGCAGACTTTTTGAGCCCTCATGCTGTCTGTTGCAGGAGACACCATCAATAGAATGTTCACCTGATTCTGATGGCTCTCTGCTTGACTCAACAGACACATTGGAAATGAAGGGCAAAGAAGTTCTGCAGTCACCTTTGTATGAAGAGAGTGAGTAACTGAGACCTGAGGCTCTCATGGCAGTGAACATGAAGATCAATGTCTTGTGGGATGTGACACCATCATTTCAGAGGAACCTTTGGCCTCCATGTTTTACCCTGAATATGGCAGAGCTGGTTCCTCCGAAAACAGTTTTATCTTTGTATGACACTACACAGTGTCACATCCCAGAAGGCAGTGATCTTCATGGTGAGTATTTGCATTAGTATGCTGCTTGCTAGTGCAGAATTCAAATATGAAAGTTACATTTTATCCTATTGCTATATATATTTATTTTTTATAGTAGATTAAGGGCCATCAGTGCTTCGGTATTGAAAGGATTGAATTGACTTTATTTTCTTCTCCTTCACTTATTTAGCAGCAGAAGCTTTTAATGTCTGCAGTCAATCTCTTCATTTTTTCATTTGCCTTCCCAGTCCTCATCTTCCAGAGGGCATATATTTGAAACCGATTATTTTAATTTTGTTATATTCCATCCTACATGTACATAACATTTTTCTATCTGTTCTTCCATTATTTCTTTTAAATATTTGAAATAATTAATTAACATAATAAATACATTAAACTCCTAGTTACTGGGTATCCAGGCATCTGTAATTCTCATCAATACAGAAAAAATTTCAAAGAAACTGCAGTTTTTATAAAGTTATTAAATAAGAAATTTGTGGTGCATGAATGTTCACCCTCCATGTTGTAGTTTTTCTAACTGCCACTAGCAGCACTGCCTGCTGTCCTCCCTCACATAGGTGCCATTACAGTGGAGACTAGTCAAATTTGTGGTCGCATTATGGTATATATATCAAAATCTCTTATCTGTCAGTCTGCTGTGTCACATAGGAAGACCCCCATGCAAGAACTAAAGCAAAAACCTGTTGTTTTGACCTTGTATCAGGTTTCTGTAAGAATTCTTCTATTGCAGCTGGCAAATTCAAGTAACCTGGTCACACCATTCCCCATTCATGCTAGGTAATAGGGAGTTTACTGTAAATTGTTGCATGCATGAAGATTTTGGATTATTATTCTCTTACATGGGGATTTCTAGTATAATTAAAGCCATTCACATCCTTCTGTGTTACAATCCTTTGCATTGCAATAGGGATTATGTTATATGTAATTACACTACAGTTGTTAATATCACTTTAATGTCTATCCTGTTTGAAACTTTGCAGAAAAATACACAATCTCTGGGTAACCTACTGGAAGAATCACCCATTCTATGTGTAGGAAATGTTTGCTTTTTTTTTTCTTTAATGTCATACAGCTGAAACTTTAAAGGATTAGGTTTGTTTGGGTTGGGTTTGGTTGGGTTAGGTTAGTTTAGGTTAAGTTAGCATTCATATTAATAAGTTAAAGTTTACTTATGTGATTAAAAAGGGAAAAATTTGGAATGAGGATTCATATCATATCCACAGAATCTTATTCAGTTCTTGCACATCACTTCTAAGAGCCAGAGTTGGCCATGCCATAGCTCAAGCGGTTAGTCGCTGGCTTCTCACTGCCGTGGCCCAGGTTCGATCCTAGGTCTGGTCAAGTGGGATTTGTGGTGGACAAAGTGGCGCTGGGGCAGGTTTTCTCCGAGTACTTCGGTTTCCCCTGCCAATCTTCACTCCACCAATTGCTCCACAATCACCCTCGCCTATCATCCGGGGCTGGTACAATAGGCCAGAAGTGGCCGCAGTACAAGGGACTTAGTCCCACCCCACTAGCAATAAGAGAAAAAAGAGCCACAGTTGCTGTACATATTGACAAGAGTTGAGAATAAATTTAATAATGTCTTTGGGAGTTCTCTAGTTTGCCCACGGTGGAAACAGGAGACATAATGGTTACATTTTTATGTATCTAATACTGTGCTTTCATATTAAATATCAGATAGTAAACCTGCTTTGCGCTTAGCAAGTTTCAAATCTGAGAGTCAGACTGGAAACTGGCTCTCCTGACTATGGTGCAATGTTCTTTCAACAAATACTGTATCGAGGTAAACAGATAGTAAACCTGCTTTGCGCTTAGCAAGTTTGAAATCTGAGAGTCAGACTGGAAACTGGCTCTCCTGACTATGGTGCAATGTTCTTTCAACAAATACTGTATCGAGGTAAAACCTCATATGATCCTTCATCTTGGTATGGAGGTATAGCTCCAGTCTTAACCTTTGGCACTAGATGTAGGAGAGGATTTAGCATCCTGCCCTGGTTGCTGTATCCCTGGGGAAGATCTCCCAGTGTCCACAGGAGTGAAAAACAGTGAAAACTTCAGCTGGTCTGATCCATAGCCTAGTCACTATACTCACTGAACTATCAGGCATATACTGTATCAGGATAATACTTTAAAATATGCTGTTGTCATTTGTTCTCAAATCCTATAAAACTCAGTTCACAGTCATCGTCTTAAGCCATATAACTATTGCATGTGGCGCAATATGATTAAATAAATAAACCTTCTTCTCTGAGGATGAAGGCTGTAAGTTCTTGCTAAACTTTGTTACCTGTTAATCAAACAACATGGCACCACATGCCAGAAGAATGTGACTGTAATATTTTCTCTATCCCTGGATTTGTTTCAGAATTAAAGACCCTAAGCCTGTCGCAACTGAACGAACTTTACCTGGAACTTGAAGTGTTGATCCGAGAGTTTTCGGAGACACTTATTGCAGAACTTGCATTACGAGATGAACTGGAATATGAGAAGGAGTTGAAGAACACTTTCATCTCTCTACTTTTGGCTGTTCAGAATAAGCGGCGACAGTATCACGTTGAACGCAAGCGAACAAGTCGCAGCAATACTACTACTCGTGCACCCAATGGTCTTGATCCTAAGGTAAGAAAAGAAACAATCTGATTTCAGAACCAGAGTCTCTGCTGGTACTGGTAGTCCTCTGCTTCTGCTGGAAACCAACTTTAAGCTGATCCCATCCTGCAGTTGTAATCCTACTCCTAACCTCAGTCACTGGTCACCTAGGAACTTTGTCCTCTCCTAGGATTGGTGACCAATCTTCGTACTCTTTGCCTTTTCATCCTTCTCTTCACTTTTAGCTCTTGTAAATCATTCTCTGCATCTTCCAGCCATCTCAGTTTAGTTGTTCCCATTTTTCTTTTACCTTCTGGCTTCCTTTCAGTAATTCTCATAGCCATCCTTGTTTGATTCTGATCACATGCATCAGCCATATTAATATTGTCACGTGTTTATGGCCATGTACTCTTGTGTGACATCACATTGCACACGGTACATAGCGATGGTCCATCCATGGACATAGAAAACGCTGTTCCCGTACTGATGACCAAGTGTGTGTTGTGGGCGTTGTCTAGCAACAGACCTATATGCTGCAATACCTTCTGGCAAGCTGCCTGCTTTCTGCTTCTTGCAGCTTACATGGCATACTCTTTCCCTGAAGCTGGAGATAGTATATTCCTCTGAAATGTCGGTAAACTTCTAAAAAAATTACATACACTCTGTCACATCCCATAAGAGCACTCTTTGTAGTCACTACTCTGTGTTAACCTCAGATCCAATATTGTGACCTCATGGACAGTTAAGATGACACAACTGACTGTGGCCAGTGTTTTTATACTACAATTGCAGAGTTGATTTTTAGTGTAATTTCATAGCCTATATTACTGTGCCTGCAGAAAACTGTGTTCTTCCCAGCATTAGAATGGTGTTTGCTTTCAGATGAATGGTCACACATGTCCACAACTGCTTCTGTTTACCCACAGTTTTAATCACTGACCATTTGTTACAGAATTCTGTATGCAGATTACCAAATGACTCATGCACATGTAATTTGTAATGAAATTCAGGTGTCAAATTACATGATAAATTTTATTTCATTTTTTAGTAGAATTGTAAATATCAAAAGATTCGCAATAATCTCTACCTTATGCTTACACTTCAAGTACCTGACAACAGTAATACCTTATCACTTGGGGAGTGGCCCACCAGATAACCAGGCTCTTCAAGTTCTCATCAAAAGTAAGTATTCTCGCTCTTTTGGCTTCATGAACGAGAAAAATGAAGTTCAGTTTAAGAAAATAAAAACCATGAGTAGCATAAAACTAGTAAATTTTTCGTGGCTCACAGTTATTAATATTCTTACCTTCAGAACTTAATTAAGTGTTAAAGTAACCATCTCTGTGTTCTAGTGGTCAGAGTTTGTGGCTGTAGATCCATAGGTCCAGGTTCGATTCCCGGCGCTGCAAGATTTTCTGAGAAGTAGTGGGTCTGGAACAGGGTTCACTCAGCCTCGTGAGGATAATTGAGGAGCTACTTAAATGGAAATGTACCAGCTCTGGTCTAGAAAACCAAAATTACTGGCCGTTGAGATTTGTTGCACCGACCACATGACACCCTCTATCCGCTAAAATTGGCATAACTTCAGTGACAAGCAGCAGTCACTCAGACAGTATAGTTCGCTTGCGGACTAAAACGTTTGATTTTAATTCTCCATGTTTTTTGAAGTATTACCATACCAGATGGCTATGAAGCTGGCCAAACCCCAGAGTCAGTCTGGATATTGCAGTGAAATGAAAATTCACTGCCTCTGCCAGGAACCCAACTCTGATAACATAGTGAATAATCCGTTAAGTGCACTAACTGAGCTATTCTGGCCCACTGTAAATAATATTATATTGGGGAGAGGTTGGCTAGTGTGGTTAAAATTCTGATTTTTAGTCTGGCTTGAATTTCAGTTGGGACAGTTAACAGTTTTGACTGACATATTCTGTGGTTTTTGTTATTTTCTCCAGACAGATACTAGGATAGAATCTCATGAAAATAGATCATTGCCACATCCTTTCCAATTCATTATTCCCTCATCATGCTATGACTGGACACTGTAGTTGTTAAATGAACCCTAAAAAATAAATAAATAACAGGATTGCTATGCTGAAGGTTTCTGAAGGTGTAATTGTCTGACATTTTCTTAACTTTATTTATAATCTGATGTTCTAAATTCATTAACCTAATGTTTTGGGAGAAGATTCAAATCCTGAATTGCTGTATGCCTGATTTTAGAATATGATTTGATGGATGCAGCCCAAGAAACAAGTAACACAAAATGTAATACAGGGTGGTGCAAAAAGGTGGGAACTTTTGAATGTGATGTTGGCAGCAGTGTGAGGGGAGAAGAAATGTGGGGAGGGTGGTAAGTTGTAGAGTAGCACTGGAGGTTTAGTAGCCATGGAACAGTTGAACGTTCAAGAACGCGTAGTAGCCGTGCGGGCTTATTATCGACACGGCGACAGTTTGGTTGAGGCCTTACAGGAGTTTAGGCGGCATTTCAACCTTGCCCCTCGTGCCCACGCTCCATCTAAACATGCAATTCGAACGTGGGTTCAAAATTTCGAAGAGACTGGTTCAGTGGGAAAGAGAAAGTCTTCTGGTCGTCCAGGAAGTGCTTGGACTCCGGACAATGTCGAAGCCATGCAAGCCTCCGTCTTGAGGAAGTCCACATCGCTCAGTACGGAAAGTCGCAGCGGCAGTGACTGTAAGTCGTCGGTCTGTCCAGAGAATACTCCATGAACTCAAGTTTCATCCCTATAAACTGCAACTGGTGCAAGAACTGAAACCTAATGACCATTTGTTGCGCCGACAGTTTTGTGAAGCAATAATGAACAAAACTGACGAGAATCCTGATTTCATTGAAAATCTGTGGATGTCAGACGAAGCTCATTTTCATTTAAATGGGTATGTGAACAAGCAGAACTGTCGGTACTGGGCACAAGAAAATCCTGCTGTTCTTCATCAACGACCTCTACACAGCCCCAAGGTCACTGTATGGTGTGCAGTTTCGGCTCGAAGGGTGATAGGACCATATTTTTTTGAAGACATCGCAAGAAACACGGTGACAGTAACTTCTGAGCGTTATGTAACCATGCTTGAGACGTTTCTTGCTGCAAGAATTCACAGTGTACCGAACATTGATATCGAAAACACTTGGTTTCAACAGGACGGGGCGACTGCACACACCGCACGAGTGTCAATGGCAGCGGTCAGGCGTCTGTTCCCCAGACTTATCAGTGTGTGATTTTTATTTATGGGGTTACTTGAAGAGCGTGGTCTACAATACACGCCCCACAACCCTAGCCGAACTTAGAAGACGAATAACAGAAGAGATCGCAGCAATACAACCCGACACTTTGCTCCGAGCCATGCGCAATTTTCAGGATCGACTTGCAGAGTGTATTCGGCAAGATGGACATCATCTTCGCGATGTTATTTTCAAACTGTGAGTTATTTTTAAATTTCCAATGTAGAAATGCACACTGAGTACCTTGATTAAATTTAAAAAAAAAATTGTATTTTTTTTCTCTATTTTCAAAAGTTCCCACCTTTTTGCGCCACCATGTATTTAAAAACAAACTCCATGGCCTGTAGTGCGCAAGTGAACTATACCAACACTGCCGCTTGTCAGCGAAGTTAGTGCCAATTTTAATGGATAGAGGGTGTCGCGTGGTCAGTGCGATGAATCCCCACTGCCGGGTTTTTTTTGTGCTAGTGGGGTGGGATGAAGCACTGTGGCCACTTCTGGCCTATTGCACCAGCCCCAGATGATAGGTGAGGGTGATTGTAAAGCAATTGGTGGAATGAAGATTGGCAGCGGAAACGAAAGTACTCAGAGGAAAGCTGCCCCAGCGCTACTTTGTCCACCACAAATCCCACTTGACCAGACCCGGGATCGAACCCGGTCCTCCATGGTGGGAAGCCAGCAACTAACCGCTTGAGCTATGGCGCGGCCCACCCCACTGCCGCTAATTTCGTTTTTCTAGACTGGAGCCGCTATTTCATTGAAATAGGTCCTCACTTACCTTCACAAGGCTGAGTAAACCCGTTCCAGACCCACTACTTCTCAGAAAGTTTGGTAGTGCCAGGAATTGAACCCAAACCCCTGGATCTGTAGCCAAGAACTTTGACCACTAGTTAGTTAGTTATTTGAGAGGGTGGGTTTCCCCATGCACTGAGACCAGTATTGGTCCGTTGTGCTTCCCTCTATGATATTCTACCAGTCTCTATACCCTACCGATATTGGTGCGTACCATCAGTCCCGACCGAGCCAGCGAGTTCGGCCTCTACTGGCTTGGCGGTATCTATAGTGCTTCCCCCATCTATCAGAGGCGTTAGAGACTACTGTTGGGCGGGAAATGTCCTTGAATTTAGCTCAGTGACCTCCTTTGGAGATACGAGGTTCTTTTACGTGCTGTAAAGCTACGACACGGGACCCACGGCTTAAAGTCCCTCCCGGAGGACTTGTTCTCTGAATTTTTCCGCCCTTAAAAATTCCACGACCTCCACCGGGTTTGAACCCGCGTACCACGAGTCATGAGGTGGGAACGTTACCTCTAGACTATGGAAGCCGATTACTTTGACCACTAGACCACAGAGGTGGTCAAAATGTAATGTTTATATTACTGAAAATTACTCTTACTAATATGTGAATTTCAAATTCATGTGACATTTCATTGACCTCTTGTTCTTCCTGTTGATACTTTGCAGTACTGAAAGCCATCAATGAAGACAGCCCCACCGTTCCTACGCTTCTTACAGATTACATTCTGAAAGGTGAGTGTGTAGGTGGAGAGATTCTGTATGTCTACATCAGTAACAGATCTGGAGAAGTCTTGTCAGATAAAATTACAAAGACCAGGTATTTGCAACCCTCCTTCCACCCTTGGATTTTTGGAAGGATCAAAATTAAAAAGAAAATGATGTGTGCAGAAATATTTATATGAAAAATACATATTACTTAAAAGAAATGTGTTTATTAACCTGAATGTATTAGGGCAATGAACAAAGTTAGTATTGAACTGTAGGCAAATTTTGCAGCTTCTGTACCATGGAACACTTGCTGCTCCTGGCAACACCCAGAATTGATTGACGAATGTTGTATGTTTCAGTTCTGTGTCCAACGTAAGACAGAAGCAGATGCAAAGAAACAGATCAGTCAACACACTATTCTGCCTACGAGCACCATTTAATGTAACAGATCTTGTGCTTTGAGACTTCTTATTATGTACGACAGTTACATGTAATTGTAAACCACATATGTGATAGTTTTAGAGTATGCTCCACACCTATCAATGGTACATATTAACCCATCATAAGCATAGGTCAAGTTAACAACAAAGAGGGGGAGAGAATATCATATAGGGCTTGGCAGTCAAGCGACATGATGTGGGAGTAAGGCTCGAAAATGTACTCGAATCTGTGCCGAATATTGCTCGAATCTTTGTGAATTCTGGTACCACTTTTCATCTGTTGGAAATCAGTCATAGTAAAATGAAAGTTGATATCAAAGAGGCAGCAGTCTATATTTATAATGTTTTTGCTTTTTAAACATTAGAAAGAAGCACACTGCTTATTTACTTCATGACATGCGCTGTGTACTTTTTTCTTGGATATGTCCAAATAATTGTGTAATTTATGATTTGAGGTTCTCCCGACAGCGAATATCCAGATTGGAGCCTTGTGGAATGTGATGCCATGTAGTTTTGTAGATAGACACTGCTATGTACCATTCTACACTGTGTCGCATCACAGAGGACTGTAGTCAACTGTGTATCATATAAAATAGAAATTAATCAAGACCTTTGTTATCCTTGAGAATGACAACCGTGACTGACCTATCATGTCCAAAACTTAGCAGTATTTATATCAGATATTTCCTTCAGGTCATATTCATGAACCTGCTAGCGCTGAAATGAATAAAATGTGGATCTATACAGCTACTCCCCCATACACCTTCATGGTGTAGTTAAGCAGAGGGACAACTTTACTTACTTTTACACTTTCAGTGAACAGATAAGTCTCTGTTTTTATGTCCCTTTCCTAGGTACATGAACAGCTGTGGGATTTGCATACAAAAAATTATTTTGCATCTGTTGCAGAAGCAAAAATTTGTTGTGCACAGCTCCCAGTGCAGATCATGTGTTAGGAAGGAAGTACATAAATACACAATAGTGGAAGGTTGTTCCTTTCCCTTTTAGATCAGATCTGAGGTTCTCACAGGTGTGACACAATGATGACGAGCATCTGGGGTGTGGCACTTTATTGTCAGGTAGATCATTACCAGCATTTTGAGGAATCTGCTGCTATTTCTGTCTTCAAAATAAAAGAAATGAAGATTGGGACAGCAAGTTTCTGCCAAATGTTGGCGGTGAACAGTCAGACTACACTGTGCCAGTTCCCAAAAGACTGTCCTTCATAGATTCCATTTGGTTATTTCTGATCTTGTTCATTATTCAGTCAGGCATAATGACTTTCCCAGTGACATTAAAGACAGAAGTTTTTAGCAAACGTAACAAACTTGTTAGGAATTTTGTAAATTTAAATTTTATGTTTATTTTGGCCTATTTTGGTGTTCACTTAACAAACTGTTTGCAGACCTAGCATAAGTATGCATACCATTTGCTTTATGGGACATACCGCTATCATTGGTTTACTGTTATCTTCATTTCTCACCATCCATTCATTCATTCCCTGTATCACTAACTTGTTTTGCATATGTGGCTTACTTTTCCATCTTGAAGATGGAGGCTGCATCTTCTTCAAAACATCAGTACCTGTCTACCCAGCTACACAGTGTCATTTCTCAGATGACAGTAACCTTCTTAGATGAACCACAGTTTAATTTGAAATCAATTTCATCTTAAATACTTTATTTTTAGGAAGGCAGTTAAGCACATTGTTTTGTTCATACTTAGGATTATACGTCACCTCTTTTGTTACAGAATCACTGTATCTCTGAGATTCTACAGCACCGTGCACTGCATGTACTGCAGACGAGTTGCGTAACTGGGCACAGAACAGCCTGACTGCCATGAAACTTCCATTCTCCATATGCAGGCAGCTGTCACTCCAGAACCGCTGAAAGTCCACGGAAGTTTCATGGCAGTCAGGCTGTTCTGTGCCCAGTTACGCAACTCGTCTGCAGTACATGCAGTGCACGGTGCTGTAGAATCTCAGAGATACAGTGATTCTGTAACAAAAGAGNCAATAGTACCACTTGATATTTGGACTAGGGAAAGAAGTCAAGTAGATGGTGGGGTTTTTGTCAGTCAAGAACTTCCACCTCTGCCTACCGAATTATTTCTCTCCAGCCCCCTGTGGACAATATTAGCCATTTTCAGGCGCTTGGCACTAGTGAAGGTTATCACTACTAACATTTGTATGTACAGAATGGCTACATGACTGGAGGGGAATGTAGGGAATTAGAGTAGAGGAGAGGGAAATAATAGGTGGAAGGAGGTGTAGAGGGGTTGGACTTCTCTCGATGGCCTCAGTATAGTTTTAGAATGACACGAGTTGTACAGGTGTGTTAATATGACATATCCAAAATGTCCGTGTGTGATTACAATACAGAAAAGCTTCTGTATTGATTGATGTATAAAATTACTGGAGTGGAAGTTTTTTTTTTTAAGAAATCACCACTAATCACTATTAAATCACTATTAAGCACACTACACTAGTCATCAGTGCCATGGAGAAGTAACTGACAATTTTATATTGTTCATTCTGCTTACAGTGTGGAAAAGCATCTTTACGTAAAATGGTATATTTGTTAATACTCTATTGATATTTATTTATCATTCCAAGCTTCCTTTGAAATATCTAGATGATAATTTTTTGTAGATTTGGAAGGAGGATATTAATGGCTGAAATAGCCATTATGTTGGGACCCTAGCTAATATTTCTTTTTTATCATTCCCTGTCATTTTTGTTGCATATTTTATACAAAATCTGTACCTTGCACTTAAACTAATTGACTGGGGATGGTTTTGTGATGCTGTGCTGTATATTGTGTGTGTATGTATGTGTGAGTGTGTATTTAATTAATTAAAATATGAATAAAATGTTCTTGGTCCTGGCCCAGTGCAATGTACCAATCAACATACATCTGTGTATTGCGTTTAAAACATCAATAAGAATGTGTCATTACCAGAGAGTTGCATCAATTGTTATTTCATTATTAAAAATTTGGTATGTTCTGTTTTCATCATATGATGGAAGCCAAAATTGACATACCAGAGATCTCATTCAACACTCGGAAGTTTTTCTATAAGGCTGTCTACTAAAGGTATGACATAACCTCAAAGGTGTTAGCGATATGTGATTCTGACTGAAAACAGCAAGCAAGAAGAGAAAATAAATTTATTTTTTCTTTGTGTAATTGTAAATAGTTATTTTTAAGTAATTTAAAAATTGCAACTGAAAGAATTTGGTAAGTTGTAGTTCTGCATTTGTACAGAATTATCTAGAAAATGGCAGACTTAGGTTGGTTAAGAAAAACCAAAGATTATATTAGTTCTCTTCTTTTTTTTTTTAGATAAAAGTAATTGCCGAGGTGAAGCCAATATTTAGCTGAAAATTTGTCTTTTTAACAGCTATGCTTCACCATCTTGCCATTCATTCAAATACTTGCTATATGATTCACTCTGAAATGAAACAAAACCAGTGTTGTGTATAAATTAAAAATGTACCAATTGAAACATAATTAATGTTCTCCTTGTGATGTAAGATGTGCATGTTTATTATAGATGCATATATACAATGTAAAATATGTAAAATATATCTAATTTTAATTTTATATATACACAATAGTGAGATGTATATTATTTATTGTTAAGTTCTTTGTAAACAAAATTGTTTATAGTTTTTGTTTAATCACTTCCCATAGAATGCAGCCAGTAATAATAGTAGGAGAGTACAGTGTGTGTTGTCCAGTATTTTTTTTACAATCAGCTCTATTTAATTTAATTTTGGTTTATCACATCCACTTTGAATTGTGTCACCTGGCAGGCTCCATCCCAGTGAACTTTAGGTTCAGTGCTGTAATAATCTGAAATCTAATATGAATATTTAAATAATATTCAGGAAGTAATTGGTGCTTCAAAACATTAAGAACAGTGAAATAAGCATCATTCAATTTGTTATTCTCAGAACACACCATATGATGATCAATTTCGATAAGTTCATTAGAAGAAATTTGGTTATGTCATTGTGTGGCTGGTTGAGGCACAAAGCTACAAGCCAGAAGGTACAGGTTCATGTCCAATGAGGTGGACATTTTTAGTTTACCTAATCCTTCCAGCTGCACTATGGCCCTGGGGTCAATTCAGCCTCGAACAGAAATGAGTACCAGGAATAATCTGGGGGTAAAGGGCGGCAGGCACATAAGGCTCACAGCCTCACCGCCGTCTGTGAGCTGATTATCTAGTCGAAGTGTGTGAGCCTCAACGCCTCACAATGCTATGGGCCTTCACAGCCTGTTAAGGGACAAGTTTACCTTTTTACCATTGCTTTTAATATGTGAGTAGAATTTCTAATTCAAAATAATACACTTGAAGTAGGATTTGAGGTTCTCATATTGGTTGTTATGAAGCATTCTCTATTCTATGATTGTATAAGGCTGTGTAGTCTGTTGAAAGTCAACCAGCCCTGGAGGAACATATCACCTCCATGTTCAGGGTTGAAGAGTAAGCCAAACAATATTCTTGATTGCCTTATTCTTCAACCCTGAAGATAGAGTTCACATGCACTTCCAGAATGTTAATTGGCTTTCTTAACCCTTTAAAGACTGACCTTCTTCTAAAAAATATAAAGAAAATTCAGTCCGTACCTCACAGGAAACACATTACGTCTCCGCTACAGAGCCCAACCGGTTAGTGCTGTTTAGGGAAACAGTCTCTGTTTATTGTGAGAACCACATGGAACACACAGATACACTGCGTGGGCAGAATATATAGCAATTCAGTCCGTACCTCACAGGAAACACATTACGTCTCCGCTACAGAGCCCAACCGGTTAATGCTGTTTAGGGAAACAGTCGCTGTTTACTGTGAGAACCATACGGAACACACAAATACACTGCATGGGCAGCATGCCGAGTGTTAGTATGTTAAAGCAGGCAATATAGTAACCACTGGGTTTTAAAGGGTTCAAGAAGTATAACAACCATCAGTCCATCCAAGAAACTTTGAATTTCACAGTGATGTGTTAAAAAATACTGGACACAAATTACTCTGCTACTTACATAGATGCAGCTTAAATTAAATTCCAATACTTCATCTGTATTCCACTTGCTAGTTTTGCATTGTCTGCTGTGTTTCAGTGTGTTGTTACACAGGCTTCCCTGTTACTATAGGGTGATCCATTTAAACCCATACCATACACGTACTACCATCATGATAAGTGATGTTGATGGGAGGATAATATTAAAATGGATGTTATAGAAATAGGATGGGGAGTGTAGACTGTGGCTGAGCACCTGTTGGTTTCTCTTGAAACATGGTCCAGAGGATTGATGCTTGTATTCAGAACAAGGAGAACACTTCCAGCATGTTTTGTCAGCATTGATTTATGTTTCATATCCTAGGCTGTAGCTTGTGCAGTCACTTGCTTCTCACTCTGGTAGCCCGGGTTCAATTCCAGGTCAGTGTATGCAGGATTTGTGATGGACAGTAGTATTGCTGGGGGCATAATTTCTCCAAGTACTCCACTTTACTCTGCAAATTACTTTTTGCCAAATGTTCCATTCTCTTAGCATCTAGGTTTGGTACAAAGGATAATTTATGGTCTAAGTACCAATGGACTGCCTCATCCCACCGCTAAAAATATATCTTTGTATGTGTATGATAATTTTGTATTCACTTAGATGTAGAACACGCTTTATTCAATTTTCCCAATTTAATCATTGTTCCACTATTCCTTAATACTCATCTACCATCATTCCTTGAGGTGAGCAGTAACTCTGATCAGGCAGCACATTATCACATCCTTGGGCTTTAAGTTGAGGGCTTCATCTGTAATCCTGCTTCTAGCTGCTCAAGTAAGAAGAGAGTGGGTTATTTTGTTTTTTGGGTACAGTTTTAAATGGATCATTCTGTATTTTTATTGTTGAGGTTTGAGCTCTGTCAGAATACTGGCCATGTAATTTACCTTGTGTGAATATTATCCAGTATTATTTATAATAGTAACTGTATGTAACAATAAAATTGATGCCTTTTTAATAAGAAGATTTCAAACCTCTTTGTTTCACATTTCAGTCACCTGAGATCAGTTTAATGTTATCGTTTATTACTTTTTAGCCCATGCTCAAAAGCTTCATAACTTGTACTCTTCTCCAAGTATAATTAGAATGATCAAGTCAAGGAGGATGAGGTGGGCAGGGCATGTAGCATGAATGGAGAAGAGGAATGCATATAGGATATTGGTGGGAAAGCCAGAAGGAAAGAGACCACTGGGAAAACCAAGGCGTACATGGGTGAACAATATTAAAATGAATCTTAGAGGGGTGGGATGGATTGGATTGATCTGGCTCAGAATACGGACCAGTGGAGGGCTCTTGTGAACACGGTAATAAACCTTTGGGTTCCATAAAATGTTTGGAAATTCTTGAGTAGCTGTAGAATTGGCGTTTCCTCAAGAAGGGCTCAGCTCCATAAGTAAGTAAGTAAGCAAGCAAGCAAGCACATGCTCGAACACAGGACTTCTTGAAGGGACGTAGAACGTGTTTACGAGTATAGGACGGAGGAGTACGTCTTCGTCCCTCCTATGAAACTGTCTGGCTGCCCTGTCACTTAAAAGGATAACCACAGAATGTGCGTAAAACACAGACATATAATTTCGAACCAGGAACTTTAGTGTGGGCCATTGTACTGCTCCGCGCCACATCCTACATTTGTCACATTTCCGGTCAGGCACGCGGACTGCGGGACACTCGTATCGTAGCTATGCTCCNTTTGGAAATTCTTGAGTAGCTGTAGAATTGGCGTTTCCTCAAGAAGGGCTCAGCTCCATAAGTAAGTAAGTAAGCAAGCACATGCTCGAACACAGGACTTCTTGAAGGGACGTAGAACGTGTTTACGAGTATAGGACGGAGGAGTACGTCTTCGTCCCTCCTATGAAACTGTCTGGCTGCCCTGTCACTTAAAAGGATAACCACAGAATGTGCGTAAAACAGGACATATAATTTCGAACCAGGAACTTTAGTGTGCGCCATTGTACTGCTCCGCTCCACATCCTTCATTTGTCACATTTCCGGTCAGGCACGCGGACTGCGGGACACTCGTATCGTAGCTATGCTCCAAACGCATTATTGGGAACATACGCGGTAGCATAGTTGGTTGAGACACTATGCTACAAGCCGGAAGGTCGCGGGTTCGAGTCCAGATGAGGTGGATTTTTTTTTTCCAATTGACCTAATCCTTCCAGCAGCATTATGGCCCTGGTGTCGACTCAGCCTCTAATATAAATGAGTACTAGGAATATTCTTGGGGGGGAAAGGGCGGCCGGCGCGTAAGACTGACAATCTTACCATCTTTAAGCCGATTCTCTAGATAAATGTTTGAGCCTCGACGTCTCACAACCCTATGGGCCTCCATGGCCTGTTACAGGGATAGCTTTACATTTACCTATTCCTATTAGACACAATAAAATTTACTCTTTTTTTTCTAAATGTATCTGTGTCTGAGACAGACAGATGAGTCACGTAGTAATTTCATGCGACGAAATATATCTACGGGTGTGTTCGACCAATGAGGGTAGCACACATAGGAAAGAATAGAATTGCGTACAAACGTTTGGCAAGAAAGCCTGAAAGAATTGGGGATAAGGATGACAAGTGCAAGTAGGAGGATAATATTAAAATGGATTTTAAATAAATGCGATCTGATTATCTGAACATGAACCATCTGACTCAGGATAGGTTCCAGTGGCAGCTTCCTGTAAACGCGTTAATGAATCTTCGGGTTTCATGAGTAACTCAGAGATTATGAACATCTGAATAAGAGTCTACTCTGTGGAGTTAGTTTGTGCAGTGAATAGACATATTAATATTATCTATTTTGTTTTTGACTTTGAATTTTGTTTGTGAAAATTTTAAAAAATATATTCCTTTTGTAACACTGACAGTAGAAAATATAAAGCCATGATTTTACAAATCTGATTCTCCAGAGAAGTTAAAGGTACTTAATCCGGACCCCATTAAACCATATCGAATTAAACTCTACCCAATTGTAGTTCGATCTGTTACCGCCTGGTCTTGTTCGCTCAGTTGCACTCAGTTGTGTGTTGACGTCTGTACAGTGAAGATCCCTGTATTATGTTTCGAGTAGTTTGTATGTTTTCTTTCTCGTGTTTATTTATGTGGCACTACCTTATACACGTATATGTAACAAACTCTAACATACACCCGCGAGGTATATTATATATATTTCTTGTGATATTATTAATAAGTTGGTGGTGTTTATAAATAATTCGACAAGGTACCATGCTCATTAATAAGTACAGTTTTGAGCAGTAACTATGAATTATTAAGCTGTGGATTTTTACAAAAATGTTGACACTCTGCTTCTGAATTTGTACCATTTATTCTATGTTTGTATTGAGACTGCAAGTTACATTAATTACGCCCAACTCAGAGTTGAGGTAGAATAGCTTATACTGTGAATAGGAATTCAGCCATTTAAATGCACAGGGGACTTAAAAACTGTGATAAGTGTTTCAGCTTCCATGTTGTTTCAAAAAGTGCAGCGTGCTTATCAGTTAGTATAAAGGCACTAATATTTCGTGAATACAAACTTTCTTACCAACAAGTTATAAATAACAGCAGTTTCGTATGTTAAATTTACGAAAATATTCTAACTAACGAACGAGTCTCACTTGAAATATATAATCCCTTTTAATGACATGGGTAAGAACATACCATAAATTTATATAAGCGTGTTTTGTTGCACTGGATTTTGTGAATATATTTTGCGGGGATCGATTTCCGTTATGGGCAATAGATTCTTATCTCCCCTAAATGCATCCGGCTCGGCTCTGTGGTCCATGCATCCCCCAACCCAAAGGTTATCGAAGGGCTGATACACCTGAGGTAAAGCAGCCGGGGCGTAAAGCTGATTACTCAGCTCCATCTAGTATGAAAAATTTTAGGCCTCTACGTGTTTGTAAAGTAACATGTAGTAATACACAAGTCTGTGTATGAATAAAGCTGACTTTGAAAACGCCGTTTTCTTGCATCGGACGTCCGTTTCTTCAAGGAGACGCCTGAAAGCTCGAACGTTCGTTTAGCGACGTGTATGTGAATGTGGACCGACATACCCGAAGTGTTAGTGTCAGTGTTACAAGTGAATTTTTTTTTGCCGAATGTTGCAACAAGCCCGGGGCTACAGCAGTGAACCAAGGACTGTGACAAGAGGAGCTCCACGCAAACAGTAACGGTAAGACCAAAACATTTCTGCGCGGAACCTCCACAGGAGGATGGGCTGGGTACTTGCAGAAAATCATGTACGCCATGCCATCGGCAAGGTCTTACCGGGTCAGTCCGGTCCCAGGTTGGTCATGATAACTCAGTGTACCTTGCGAGGCAACTCCGTATTTAATGCGGTAGCCGTCATGACTCAGGGCTTAGGTTAAGGTCAGGTTGGACAGTGTGGAAGTTATACTTTGTTAATTATTAGGTATTATTTTAGTGTATTTTCCCGTCTCCAGATTGTAGGGCAAAATCATGACATAAAGATAGCTAACAGGTTCTTAGAAAATGTGGCACAGTTAAGATATTTTGGAACGGCATTAACAAATCAAAATTCGATTCAGGAGGAAATTAAGAGGAGATTGAACTCGGGTAATGCTTGCTATCATTCAGTCCAGAACCTTTTGTCTTCTCGTCTGTTGTCCAAAACATAAAAATCAGAATATAAAAAACTACAATTTTGCCTGTGGCTCTATATTGGTGTAAAACTTGGTCTCTGATATTAAGGGAGGAACATAGATTGAGGGTGTTTGTGAACAGGATATTGAGGAGAATATTTGGACCGAAGAGAGATTAAGTGACAGGAGATTGGAGAAAACTGCATAATGAGGAGCTTCATAACTTGTACTCTTCTCCAAATATAATTAGAATGATCAAGTCAAGGAGGATGAGGTGGGCAGGACATGTAGCACGACTGGGGGAGATGAGAAATGCATATAGGATATTGATGGGAAAGCCAAAAGGAAAGAGATCACAAGGAAGTCCAAGACGTAGGTGGGTGGATAATATTAAAATGGATCTTAGAGAGATGGTATGGATTGGATTGATCTGGCTCAGAATAGGGACCAGTTGATGGTTCTTGTGAACACACAGTAATGAACCTTCGGGTTCCATAAAATGCTGGGATATTCTTGAGTAGCTGCACAATTGGCGGCTCCTCAAAAAGGGCTCAGCTCCATGAAGTTAGTTTAGTTACTACCCAACACCGTTACATGGCCCAAATGGGATTTTTGACTCGGTGACATGAATTTAGCTTCTGTGTGCAGTTTACACCTCGTTGTATGGGGGGGGGGGTAGTTTAAATATTTAGCACTTTGTTCAGTTCTAATTTAATGGTTTAGAAATGATGTCCACGTCGATGTCTTCGCTTTCTGTCCTTCCGTCTGAATATTTGTTCCTGTTTATCCACATGATGTTAGGTTTCCGGAAGTAGTCCTCAATTTGTTGCAGAGTCAGCCCCTGTGTTTCCGGCAAGAAGAGATAGACGAAAATAGTGCACATGACGCACGATATTCCGAACATGAAGAAGAGACCATGTATCTGCAGGTTGCTCGACATCCAGGGGTATATCTTAACGACTGCTCCCAGAAGAAGATCGTTCACCGTGTATATGTAGCCACAGGCGAACCCCCGTACATGGGCTGGCTGAGTTTCTCCTATCATGACAGACGGAAGGCCAAAGAACCCAAAGGACATGGCTCCTGCATAAATAATTATTAATACGAACGCTATGTTGGCTTCGTGTTGTGGAGAAATCGGAGAACCGAACTCCAGACTGTTCAGGCAGAGCAGACCGCCCAGACAGAGAGAAGAAACTGAAGAGAAGACGCCCGAAATCATTGCTAAAGTGCGTCGGCCAACCCTCAACATAAGAAACGAAGACACAAGAACAGTAACTACTCTTACACCGGAGACTAAAACAGTCGTCGAATAATCATCCATTACCTGTGTTCCAAATTTCCTCGTCTTTGAAAGAATGTCGACCGTGTAATATGTAAATATACCCAGACCACAGAAGGCTTGGAAGATGTTGAATAAATGTATTATTAGGAAAGGTTTCACGATTCGAGGTCTGAAGAAATCTCTGAAAGTTTGTATAATCTCTCGACTATCCAGGATCTTGTGATGATATCGCTGTCTGGGGCGTAGTCTCGCTATGAGACCACTCAGTTCGTCTCTTGCCTGTAAAGAAATTAAATTTATTACAATTACGCATAAATTAATTCTGTAAAATTGTCTTACTATAGAGTTTTGGATTAGTGAATAGATTTATTGGTCACTTACAGGTCGTAACTACGAACCGCTATAATTCTATCTTTATTTCTAAACTTTACAGTTCACTAGAGCACAGTCTGTTACTAGACGTTTCCTGGTTACGGTTTCAACAAAGGCTATTCTTCTGCCTCCGGCTGAAGTCCTCTCTTCATAGACTCCCGTACAGAACTAAGTACTCACTAAGTCAAAGTCACATTGCGACTGACGGTCAGACAGCCAGAGATGTTTATTACTGTTTGGCATTTACGGTCTTGTTTTTTGTAGGGTGCCCTATCTGACGAGAGGACAGGTCTGCCTATTGTATATGCTGCTGGCCCTTGCCAGTGCAGTCTTTCTCGGGTCTGAGTCCCTTGGGACTCGCGACCATATTTTACTGTCTTAGATTTGAGACTTCCCTCTTCGTCGTCTCCTACGACTCTCAGGGTCACGGTGGAGTTATTCGAACCCGCCTCGACACGGATTAGCTACATACTACTACTTTAACTTCATTTCCCGGCCTTCAACTCCACATTTCCCGGTTATAACATCTCGGCACCGATCACATAGAAAACACAGTTCTTCTATTGTTGCTTGAGTGAATGTTGCGGACATAACCTAGCAACGGCAACTGCTCACAGAGTCACCGCTTATCAACGGGTCTATACTCCACAATATTACGCAAAGTGTCAGACATGCTAATATAGTAGCACCCAGAGCCATTGACACTTATTCGCACTTCCTTTCCTGGCCCACAGAACCACTGACACTTACTTGAACTTAGTTTCCTGGCCCACAGAACCACGGACACTAACTTGTGCTTCATTTCCCGTCCATCAGGGCCACTGACACTTATTCGCACTTCGTTTCCCGGCCCACAGAACCACTGACACTTACTTGTGCTTCATTTTCCGGCCACCAGGGCCACTGACACTTACTTGTGCTTTACTTCCCGGCCCCCAGGGCCACTGACACTTACTTGGACTTTGTTTCCTGACCCACAGAAGCACTGACACTAACTTGTGCTTCATTTCCCGTCCATCAGGGCCACTGACACTTATTCGCACTTCGTTTCCCGGCCCACAGAACCACTGACACTTACTTGTGCTTCATTTTCCGGCCACCAGGGCCACTGACACTTACTTGTGCTTTACTTCCCGGCCCCCAGGGCCACTGACACTTACTTGGACTTTGTTTCTCGGGCCCCAGGGCCACTGACACTTACTTTGGCTTAGTTCCCTGAGCCACAGAACCACTGACACTTAATTGAACTTCATTTCCCGGCCCCCAGGGCCACTGACACTTACTTGAACTTCATTTCCCGGCCCCCAGGGCCACTGACACTTACTTGTGCCTCATTTCCCGGCCCCCAGAGCCACTGCAGAGCGCGCTCAGCGTCCTCCATTCGATTCTTCCTCACGAACCAGGTCGGTGACTCAGACACGAAATACAGTGAGATCACGTTTACAACGGACGGCAGAGCAGCTAGCGCAGACGCCGTGCGCCAGTCGACCAAGGCGCCGAGGCTCGAGATAGCCATGATGCCAACGGACACGCAAGTGAAAATGCTACTCACTATGAAGCCTCGGAATGTGGGGTCTGCGAGTTCGTCCACAAACACCTGCGCATGAGAAACTTGACGTCAGGATAAAGCAAGGGCACTGCAGTACGGTCTGTCCATGTGTCAGCCGATATGAGGTAGCTAGGAAACGTTAATGTACGTTGTGTTGGAGTGGGTAGGACTCCTGCTTCATATTATTTATGTCTGTGGTTCTACAGCCATTTTTAGACTTTGGCTAACTTTTCAGTTTCTTAATCCGACACACAGTCTGTCGGTCTACTTGGATGGGAGATCAGCCATCATAACGAAGCTACCTACACAGAGTAAAGCACAAACAGAATAAACGCAAACAGACATGCATGCCTCGAGTGGGATTCGAACCCACGATACCAATGTTCGAACAGGGGAAGTTGGTTCGTGCCTTAGACCGCGCGTCCATTGTGATTGGCCCCTCGGTTCATATGTAGGCCCGAAAACAGACTATCCTGATAGATTTATCGTGAGTTTTCTCAGTCGCTGCTTGAATTTCCTATTTTTCCCTTTCCAGCTACATACTACTACAGTCAATAAGTTCGCGGAATGGCCGCAAAGCGTCGTTGCAGTGCACTACAACGGATAGGTTGAGGCACGATATGATGCCTTGTCGGTTCATCTCTCGTCACAGCAAGAGGCAGTTGTGTGCAGTGTAGGTAGAACTACGACCTCTATTGTGAACTGCAGTTAAATGCAAGTGGCGGAAATCGAAAATGTGTTGTTTGAACAACGGGCAAACATCAAGTTCTGCCAGAAACTAGGCAAATCCCCTAGCGAAACGTTTGGCGTAGGAAGAATTGGCTGTTGCTACACGACAACGCCCCTGTATATCGCTATGTTCTTGTCCAAGAGGAACTGGCAAGGCAACAGGTCACCGTTTTGCCACACCCTCCGTACTCACCTGATCTCGCGCCATGCGATTTCCTTCTCTTTCACTGCGTGAAAGCAAAGCTACATGGTCGTAGGTTTCAGTCGTCCGAGGAGGTGTTCATTGCCACAAGAGACGCAGTACGGGAATTTCCTGCCAATTGTTTCAGCAATGTTTTCGGGAGCTATATCGACGTTGGCAGACTTGCATAGCGGCCAACGGCCACTATTTTGAGGGCCGATGTGGATCTGTGTAAGTGTATGTGAATACCTTAACGAACTTAACGACTCTACCACGTATACAGCCCATCGTAGCCCTGACTATAGTAACAGCAGATTACCTGAGTAATCCAGGTCTTTCCTACTTATGTGACGTAATCTGCCTACTTCCTGGTTTTTAGGTAAAAATATTTTCCTGAATATGGCATTTTGAAACATATACATTTCCAAAGAGAAAGGCAATAATCCGTTTACGGAAATGAATGTTAGGATTTTGCTAAAGATGTAAACTCGAAAGTAATGTTCTTAGTACTGAGTAGACGTGAAGTAGCGCTCACCGTTATGCACGTGGCCAGAATGCTCCTTGAGAAACCCTCGACGATTCTGCCGGATATGAGCATGGCTGCGTTCCAGGCGAACGTAATCAGAAGCCATCCTATAACCATGCCGACGTTTCCAATAAAGTTTATCTTCCGCCTGCCCCAGATGTCCATGGCTAGGCCCCCCAGGAGGCAGCCCACCGGGCTAGCTATTGCGTACACGCTTGCTGAAACACACGATGGGGCTTTAGATCCAATGTTATGGGAAGTGATGTCATGTAATTTGGTAGCTAAGTGGCATAGTTTAGGAGGAAACTGTCGGGTTGAGGAAACAGGTATCTCCGAAACCACGGTACACATCACGTTCTAGAAAACAGCAATCTTGACGCGGTCATATCTTTATTGATCGATAAGTAGAGCTTAAGGTTAATGTTATCAATTTTGATTTATACTGACTATACATGAATTGTTCCCTCTTTTGAAGAGAGCTGACAGCTAAGTCCAGTAAGAAGTAGAGTACTTATGGCCTAGGCCCTAGGCCAGACTTCTCACTGGTTGCAAGGTCTTTAAGGGGATTTTTGCCCTTCCTACCGAAGACTAAACATACAGGATGTGCCAGGAGGAAAGGTCAATATTCTTGGAGGTCATAGTATCGGTCATTCTACGATATATATATGTTCTCTTCCGAACGGTTTCCGAGATAGAGCTATTTCACTGTACAGTACACTGTACAGACGAGCAACACGCCGTGTCCTCACACGAGTTGCAAAGTGCATTGATGTTGACGGTGGAATTTTCGAAAATGTATTATACTTGGTAAACTGTACCAACGGCATGTACTGTCTTCGCTCGCTTGGAAATCGGGATCGTGGGTTCGAATCCCACTCAGGGATGTTTAGTTTGTGTGTATGCGTTTTTCTGTGTTTGTGTACAGGTAGAGGCCTTGCGACGAGCTGATCACCCGCCCAAGGAGTCCTACCGAATGTGTAAGATCTAGAAAAACCGAAGTGAACGGAGAAGTTCATGGAGATAGGCCTAGGCCTACTGGGGCTGTAGTGCCAAGGAAAAAAAAACTGTACCAACTTTGTCACTTGAACAATAAATACCGGTATTACAAACAGCACGTGCATAATGAGGAGCTTCATAACTTCTACTCTTCTCCAAGTACAATNCGATATATATATGTTCTCTTCCGAACGGTTTCCGAGATAGAGCTATTTCACTGTACAGTACACTGTACAGACGAGCAACACGCCGTGTCCTCACACGAGTTGCAAAGTGCATTGATGTTGACGGTGGAATTTTCGAAAATGTATTATACTTGGTAAACTGTACCAACGGCATGTACTGTCTTCGCTCGCTTGGAAANTTAGAGAAATAGGATGAGATGGTATTGATTGAACTGATCTGGCTAAGGATACGAACCCGTGGAGGGCTCTTCTGAACACAGTAATGAATCATCGGATTCCATAAAATGCTGGGAATTTCTTGAGCAGCTGCACAACTGGAGGCTTCTCAAGAAGGGCTCAGCTCCATGAGTGAG